TAAATAGGCATGTCATTCAGAGAAGCAAACGACTCAGATATCAAACGGGTAACAAACGTCTGTCCAATATAAGAAAGAAAATAAATCCAAAGTTGCAACAAAAATAAAACTGATCTTTAAGTGTCCTTGGAGCGAGTAAAATACAAAGATAAAACCAAAAATTTTAATCAATGCTAAGTTAAAGAATTTACTTGCAATGTGTTTCACAAGTTCAGTTGTTCGTAAGCAGTAGATTGCCAATGGCAATACAGCTAAAAAAAAATAGTAAAAGGATTTCCATTTCTTGCGCGCGAAATTGCTCTACCGGCTGTCTCGATATTAAACTCCTGCTAACAGCAATTGCATCATGCCCACTCGCGCCAGTCTGACGTTTAACCTCACGTAAAATTATAATAAGGACGCCTGGTCGTATGAGTGATGGCTGCGTGCAGCAGATGTTGATTGCGTAGTGAATTCTGCTGCCGCAGGTGGCAATCAATATGCTGCTATACTAAGTCAGTATGTGTGTGTGTGCATGTAAATTCCTCCATCCATCAGTCAGTTAGCGTTTAACAAGATGAAGATGACAACTGATTTTTATAAGCACACGACTTTTCCTTTTGCTTTTTTTGAACTTCGCCGCTCAACACGTGACGTGGATTTGTCAATGTCGTCCGTGTATGACTGAAAAGTGTTTACTTGTATGGACGTAACTTGTTTGCAACGGGGTTAAACGCTTACAAATTTACACACATATATGACTATGTATTTGTGCTCTGCAGTCCCGCTTAAACCGCAGGAATGCAAGTTTGACCTTATTTCAGCTTGTTTTTAGATGCGGGTGCGAGCTGCCTGTTTGCATTTGATTTTTTTGAACTTAATTCTTCTGTATATATACATACATATTTGCTTCTTGACAACTTTTTCGCCTGAATATTGAAAATTAGATTTCAGGATCCCGAAATTTTCTAAAATTTTTCTTAATATTTTTTTTTTTTAAATAATCAATCTGGTAAATATACAAACGAAACTTGTTCCTTTATCGGTATATTGAATAATTTATTTCGGGATCCCGAATTTTTTTATATTCTTAAAAATGAAATAAAAATAAAATCCAGTTGATGTATTTGCTTATGAAATGTTTTTTTTTTCATTTGAATATTCAAAAGTGAATTTCGGGATGCCGTAATATTTTCGGGACTTATAAACTTTACATTTTTTTAGTCGCTGCATATATACAATATCATAGTAAGAAAACCTTTTTTGGTTTATAATGATCCCGAAATTCTTGGCTAGTTATATCGGGATTACATAGTATGCATCTTGAAAACATATAATTATACTAATTTATACAACATAATTAGGAGCAAATCATACAAAAGGAATATGAAGATTCCAAAATACCACAACAACCTCTTGGACCTTAGTTACTCTTCCTTCTTTCTATATCCGTATCTAAATTCTACCCAAGAATATTAACTTTAGTTACAACTCATTGCACCTATTTCGACAAAGCAAGCTGTAATTGAGGCGCCTGTACATTAACACATACAAACATATACATTTTTGTACAGTAAGATCCACTGCCTGCTCTTCAGAGCCACGGACCCCCACACTGCCAATAGTTATTGGCCAGTCAGCACATTATCATTTACGAGCTGTTGGCCCACCAATATCAGCTGTGGAAGGCAGCAGATATACTTGTAAATGTGCATGTATATGGTGGATGCACAAGCATATATGTATATTTAAAATTGCAAGGACTAGAAACCACACCAACAACTACTCGCATCACGCCGCCTTTCAGTGCTTTGTAAAATACTTTCGAGTCCTTTTCTTCCACACCCTTTCAGCGGCGCCTCCGTTTTGTTGCATTTAGCCGCCTGTGTCATCAGTATGTTGCAACAGCTGTCCAAGCGACAACAATAAAAGCAACAACAACTACGCTCCTATGGCGTTGGTAATCTATTAGCGCAAAGGATTTGTTAGAACGTCGCCAACTGACGCTTTTTACAATAAATTGGGTCATTGTCGTATAGGCAAACACGAAAGTGTGACGTCGTCATGGTGTGTGTGCATGTGTGTGGGTATTTGTGTGACACTTTTTCTTATTACTGTTATACTTTAGATATTTTCATAATTTTGTGCACTTTCACAAAATGTTCTCAATTCATGAAGCCATAAAGGGCTGTTGATAAGCATTTGAAAGGCTTGCAGCAAAGAATAATGAAAAAGATTACAAATGAAATACAAAGGACGGCAATTTATTTATGTCCAGACATTTGATAAATATATGTATATATTTGAGGGTATTGTGACTCCTACTGGACATTTTGTAGAACATTTAAAGTGAAAGAATAAGGAAGCTGTATGGGTAAAGAATTCTGTGCGCCGACATTTCAGACCTTAATCTTGAAGTTTTGAAAAGTTTTTCGGTTAAATTTTTAAACAAAATTTTAAAATTTTTCTTTGCTTCTAATAATGAAGTAATTATGAGCTTAATGGTAGATTGAATGATTATTTAATGCAAGTTATAGAGGAAGTATATTATAGAACCGCGTCAATCAAATCCGCTTTACTATAATAACTAAGATATTTCAAAAGTAAAAAATTAGGAAAATTTTTATACATTGCTGCTGGTAACCTTGAAAAAAAAAATTTTTTTTTACAACTTTGGGGATACCACTTTGCTCATTGGTTCACTTCAAAGGAAATCTGCAAGAATATTTTGTTTGTAATCGTGATACTCCAGAGCATCCACACGGACTCTAACCAAAAACGGCTGGTGATGATTAATATTATTATTATTAAGAACCACCCTAATGGCAGCTATTTCAAGCTGAGGACCTGAAGTCAATTCAGACAACTTCACTTCTACTGAGTGACAGACCACAAAAGCATCGAGGACAATGAAATCGTGGAACACTCGAAGACGTGATCAGTATTGGGAAACCCACGAGCAGAAGCAAAACTCGATGGAACGAGCAACCTGGGTGCAAAACGATTGATCGGAACTATACAAAATTCCTATTGGCACTCGATAGAAGAGATTGTAGGAACGTGTTCGGAATACTAATTGGTTAATGTTAGTGGTGGCGACACACGATCGCAGGAGCAGGGTACCACTGAAACAATAGAGCATCTTTGGTGCACTTGTCTCGCATTGCCAAGACTACGCTGTAAGCATCTGGGGTCCCCAAGGTGTGATACACTGGAGGAAATATCGATAGTGAGGTCACAAAATCTGTTAAAATTCACATTAAGCACAGGCTGTCTAAAATATGACTTCTATGTAATACATATACAATTTTTCTATGCAATACATATATATATATATATTATAATCTCCTTTAAAAATTTACGTATTTCATTAAAATATTCCCACCAAAGTTATTTCAAATCATTAAATAACTTAATCTGCTCTAAGCACAATTACCTAACCTTACTCAACATCTTTTCCGCCTGAACACAAAATGTCAAAAACAAATATTTACTGCAGCATAAACGCTTGTTGCATCTACTATTCACCCAGTTTGGTTATTCTCATTACAACTGCTTTGCAACACAAACAAACACGAGCAAACATTTGCTCTTAACTCTCACAAAAGAGAGCGCTCTATATGTTGCAACTCTTTGTTATAACTTCACTTTCGTAAGTGAGTAGTAGTCGTGCATAAAAGTAGTTCATTAATGCTGTCTGCTGCTGCTGTTGAAAGCCGGAAGTGTTGACATTTCTTTCCGGCATCAAAACTTGTTTAGCGGTTAGCGAGCATTTAGAGCACTTGTGTGATATTTACGTGTTGATACAGAATGTTAATGCTTCGCAGTTGATGCTGTTAATGTATAACATACATTTTTTAACTGCTTTGGAATTTCTGTTATTTGTATACTTTCTGTAATGTAAATTCTGCTGTGAATGCATTCGTGCTGTTAAGAGTTTACATATTCATGCATATTGCAGCATGTTGTTTTTAAATGTCGCTGTCAACTTTTTTTTTTTAATTTTTTGGGAGTGAATTTGCGTTCTTTGTTTTTCTTTTTTATTTTTTATTTTTATTTTTTATTTTTATTTTTTATTTTTATTTTTTTACTTTTACAGTACATTTTAAGAAATATTTCACATTTTTAAGCTACTGTTGCATTCCTAAGGTTTAACATTTTTGGCACTTTGTTGCTGTAAGATTGACTGAGTGTTGTGTCATCACTTTAGTAAATGAATGTTGCTTTACAGCTGACGAAAGACATTCCTCAATATTGTTGAAAATAGTTACAACGAATATATTTTGTTTTGTTGTAATTATAGCAAAAGGAAAACTGTTGAATTCAACTCAGAGAGCAGTGAGTGGAGGAGTTACGCATTGGTGAATTTGAGAGCTGAAACATATTGTTGATTCTTTTTACTTACTTTTTTGGTGTTGCCTGTGTATGTTTCGATATAGCTGTAAGCATTTTAATGCAACGAATGTTACATTGCATATTTTATCATACAAATGTGAGTATTATAGCTTTATTGTTGACTCACTCTCTTGCTATTAACTACCTTCCTGCTGCTTATTTGATATTGTATTAGATTTTTTGTTTACTTTGAAATTTCCACTCACCGGCCAGTATTAGAGTTAATATTGCCTACAATAGAGAAACATTAATAAATGTTACTCAAAACATTTTAATTATCATATTTGTCTATATGTTTATACTCCCGTCGTTTCAACAACATTAGAGCCGGCTAGTTCGTCACTACTTTGCAAAATATACAGCAATACAGAAATCTTCACACATTTTCGTCGTTCGGTCTGCAGCTAATATTCGCTGCCGATTGCCATCGGCCTGCCAATCTGCATATACACATAACCAACCACTCAGCAATGCTTAACTCCCAATTCGTTGAGTTGTGAGCAAAGCAATCGCTTATTGGTGTGTTGTTGAAATTTGACTTCGTACTTTATGCACATATTGTGGAGCTCACAGCCCAAAGTATTGGAGTCATTCGGTTTGGTCGTTTCAGTTTCAGTTGGAGCGTGTTTACGAACGGTTYGTTTCGTTTGACGGAATCGCGTGTAGTGTCCGTATTGTCGTTGAATCGCATTCGCAAGCATCGCACGCTAACCTCGTGTACGGTTCGTTCTCGTTTTTTTGTAAGCCTACGAAATTATTGAAAAATATCTACATATTGTGCAAATATTAGCGCTTATATGAAGTAAATGAACAAAAGTGTTAATAATTTGATTAAAAAAATTATGATAAAGTGTGTTAAAGTGCTATACTGAGTGCGCGTTTTTTCGCAAATATCCCATTGCCAATACGAGCCCTTGATCGGTGCAGTCGACGCGACAGCAGCCAGCAGCCAGATTTGGTGACTTCGTGCGTCTTTTTAACGCTACACACGGCATCGTTGTATATTTCGTGACGGTCCAGCGGCAACGCCAGTTCTGCTGTAAGCCAGTCAGTGAGTCAGTCAGGCAGCCAGCCATCTCGTTCGCAAAACCGAGTATATCAGTTGGCAAAAAACTTATTTCGATTTCGTATCCGTTTATATTGTTGTCGGCGGCATCGTCATTACGACACATTTGAGCTCTGCTGCTTCATTTTCGTTTGCGGCCGAAATCTTTTCGTGCGTGTCGGTGCATTTGTGTGTATGTATTACAGTTATTTAAATATGAATATGCTTATATACTAATAGAAATATGCATATTTTTTCCCCCCAAATATTGGTTACTAACAAAAATTTTATGAGTTTTTGTAATTTACACGAAACCAGAAATTAAATAACCCACAACGGACAACAGCAACAAATGTAGCATCATTATTATATATATATATATACATATATGGCTGTGTATTCAGGCAAAAAAAGATTGCCACACTTAACGCCTACTGCTCAACTCCAATAACTTTCGATTGAGTGAAGCTTTCGTGCAAAAAATTAGCAACCCATTAATGGGAAAGGAGAAATAAAGAAATAATAATTAACAATGCAAAGCAATAAAAGTAAATTTCATAAGCACTGTAGCTACAGGCGCAAGCAAATACATAAAATAGACGAGCATACAATAAATAAATTAAATAAAATAATAAATGGAAATTAAAAAAAAAAATAC